AATGCATTGAAGACTTTTATTACATTTTGCGTCAGTTATTATATAATGCGGTTTTAGCGCGAGTTTATTACATTTTGAAGCCTGATTTTTATTACATTATTACATGATGCGTTGTTATTACAAAATGAGGTCTTACAGGGGGTCTAACTCAATTACAGAAGGGGGCAAAAATTTTAAATTTGGTCCAAGGACCAGTCTCTGTCGATATTTATTTAAAACAATCTTGATTTTAAAAGTTATTTAAATTATTCTTACATAAATACACTAGACTCACAACTATTTCATTTGCTGTTTTAAGATATATATTTCATCAAAATCTATCAGTTAATAAAAGATTGTGTATTTTGGTTTTTATGGTCTAATGAGGACATGAGTGCACACCACCTAATTGGACCCGACATACTCTGAGTGTTAACAGACTGAAAACTTTTAATATAATTTTGGCATTCACTGTGTGAGAAAACAGGGAGGTGAACAAGACATGGCGTAGAACACACAATGCCAAACTGAAGATGGAAGGAAAACTGAGAGAAGGACTGGGGCTGATGAGACAAGTGCATGCAGCTGGGACTAATGAAACAGGGAACAGGTGCAAATGTGCACAGCAGGCTGAGTGAAGGAGCAAAAACTGACAGAGGAAGAAGTGGACAGTAACTCAGGGCAACCTAAAGGGAAATGAACAAACCAAACTCAATGAAAAGGGAAAAAAAATACACTTCAAACTGGAAAAAAATAAAACAGAAAACACAAATCCTGACACTATTAAAATTAAGTACTCATCAGTGCATGTTCTCCTTTGGTTCAAAATAACATAACAGCATATTTACATGCGTTCATTTTAATTTAATATTTGTTCTCCATCTAATAAATTATTCATCCCATTGTCTTATCAAACACTGTTATGTTACTTCTTTTTTAGGGTGATTTTCTTGAACAACTTTCTAACTGAACACAAAAGTCCAAACTGTTCATCAGAAATCCAGAGATAGCRTGAGGATGGTGGGATGTTCCACTCTGCTCAGTGAGCGTACAACATGTTCTTTTCTCACTGCACCACTGTGGAACCAACAGCTCAATACCTCATCACAGAAGCAGAGGTCACAGCTGGTCCTAGGTTTGCAGAGAATGTGTTGCTAAAAATAAATAAATACCCTCTACTATATTGGCCAGATAACGAAACAGTCTTCCTTGCAAAAGTTCTCATGTTAAAGAAACAAATCTGAGAACTAAATGGATTTTTTATTTATTTTTTATTTGATAAGTGGAAGAATTTTCAAACGCACACAAACATAGATCAATTGATTGCCATTAAAAAATTTAGCAGCCTTGGATCTGCACAGAATCCGAACCAATGCAGCTGAGGACCTCTTTCAGTCCAGATGATGCCACATCTAATTTAACAACAAACTGCAAAACTATTAATAGTTGCCTGTTTCATTCAGTAATGATGATGGTTAGTTATTGATGTAGGGGTTAAACAAAACGAGACAAAAGAATGAAACAAAATAGATTAATGTTATGTTTTTGTCTACGGCTCTTTAAGATTTGTGCTTTACATGTTAGATTATGATGCAGTGATACTTCAGATCTTCTGAAAGAGCTAATAAACAAATGAAACCTTAACCCCGTGTCTGTCATAATAAACAGCTATCATGGTACAGTTTAGCCTGAAGCATGTTGTCAGAGCTGAAARCTGTCCTGGCTGCTGTCAGAGCCAGTACCACCCCAGGAACGCCCTTTTAAAACAGGATCTGTAATTATTGTGATTAGTGGGAGAAAAACAGAGCATCAACAGGCATCCTGACCTTACCTCACCAAGCTGTGGCTAATAGAAACACAAAATTGCCAAAAGATGCATGAATATTCACTTGAAATCAAACTTAATGGGTAAATTGGGCACATTTGCAAATAAATTGCAATACTGAAGCAACAATCCTGCAAATGAAAATTAATACAATTTATTCTCTTGTTTCCAGTCAGTCACAAATTTTTTGCGCACATACGACAAGCTGCAAGCCTCTTCGATTCATGCAAGGAAAAAAGAGCACTTGCAAATGTATTGAGATATTTTAATAACTCTCGCAAATCGTTTGAAATTTGTCACCAGCAGTCACAGACCAGTGAAACTGACAAGCTAATGGTTCTAGTGAAATACAGTGAATGACTGTCATAAAACCTTTTCAGAGCCATTAGTTTCATATTAAACAGGTATTAACCCATACTTTTGTGAGAGGTTTGTAAGCAGAAATAGTAGCAGCTACGTATATATGTAGCACTTCAGATGCAAACTGGGATATTCAACAGGTAAGATGTTAACTGTTAGTAATCTTTCCCCATTTTGAAATGTTTAAACTTTCCCTTTAAGAGCCAGTTGTATTGCATGTTAAGACACAGATACTAAATAAGCAGCACGTGAGAGTATTCTGTCAATCTAAAGGGCAAGAAAAGCATTGTAAACTTCTAAGTAAACACTTTGGTCTTGAGCAAACATTTCAAACAAAAAGTTGGCCCATGCTGCTGTAGAATAAATAATAAGTAGATACAGAAGCAGTTTTCCCAAGAAGCATGCCCCAATAGGAGCAAGMTTTTTCAGTGTTTAAATGGAATTACACGCCTTCCCTCTGGAGTCACAGTAATAGAAAATTCTGAGAATATGTAACAATTTGAAGAAATCCAGTTATGTGCTGCCCTCCCTCTGGCTCTTTAGCATTCGATAACAACATAATAATGTCCAATTACTGCTGGACAGATGTGCTCAGCAAACCAAAAGTACAAATAGATAAATGAATAAATGACTTGTTGGAGATGATAGAAATTAGCATTTTGTTTTTAATGCACCAATTTTGAATTAGATTACCAAGCCTGCAAGATGTTTTTAGCACACAACCTTTGGATTTTAAAATGATGCTGCTGCAGGCTGAATGTAGACCAGAGTAATGAGCGGAGTGAAGCAGGAGCAGAAAGAAAACCAATCTGTTACAAGCTTTAAATTGACATGTGATGTTTGGTAGTGGAATATATTTGGGTCAGTGACATGTTTTCTAATCTACAGTATATGGCAGATTGCATATTTTTATAAAGGATAAAAAACAAGCTTATTGGACTTTCTGCGTGACACAGATCTACTATAATTAATAGGCTCCTTGGATGTGAATGACGTCTTGGAGTCATTACATCTTCTTTTACAAGACTGTGAAGCCAAGGAGGACGCTAATAGTGTCATGCAGAAACTTGTTCAAATGCAAGTGATTGATTTTACAAAGAAAATGTAATCATTTATTTATTGTCAATCTTTGTTAACATGCAATAAAAAATACATGTTTGTCCACCTGTTAAATAAATCAATGGGTAGATTTTAATAAAACTTCCTGAAAGTAAAAACTTAATGTGAATCTGCAAATGATAAATGTTCAGAACACTTTATTAATTACAAACTTTAAAAAAGTGTATTAAAATAATTATTACCTTCACTGACCCTTATAGCTGCTGGACAGTGCTTGGTACGGAATAGAGGCTCAATCTGCTCCATTTGCAGCTGCATTCAAAAGGGCTCTGAGTTCATGCTTTAAAAATGAGGTGTTATATTGTAAGTATGACTGTGGTATTCTAATTATCACATTTATTTCGTGGGGACATCTAAGTACTGTACCAGCTTTTACAAATATACATTTTTAAAAGCAACCATAGTAATTCCTCAACAAGAGCAGAATGGTGTTTGTGCTGCACTGAGTCGTAACAAGATCACTCACCACTGGACGTGCTGTCTCTTTCTCCTTTGCCTTCACACCTGTCATTATCCAGGACATGATGTTCCAGAACCAAAGGACCCGCAGAAGAGAGGAGTTTAGAATCCACGCCACCCAATCGTGCCGCGCTGTCTGAGAACAAAACGTCAGAATGAAAAGGCTGGATTAGGAGAAGGGACAGGAATTTAGGGGCTAGGTGTTAATGGACATGTGTGTGTGTGTGTTTGTGTGTTGGGGAAATGTTTGGGTCTGTTCTTGTTTGCATAAACAAAAGTTCACAGGCTGCTAAATAAAATGATTGGGAAAATATATTTCTTTTAAAGGAATTGAGGCTGAGTTTAATACCACCTCTTGCAGCTCAAGTAAATGTACTTGATTTATCCACAATCAGCCAAAGTTATTGGAAAACAATTGAAAAGAATATTTCTCAGTCTTCACAAGAAAGATTTTGTTCCCCCTAAATTTAGGAGTTCGGATCTGATTTCTGTGCAGGTTATTATGTATACATACTGGTTTTTGTGCAAAACAGAAGAGTCCACCGAAACAAATAAATCTGCCCCAGGGTTCATTATTTCCAATTAATTCAACTCCCATATTAGTATATATATATTATTTAGAACAAAAAAATAAAATTAAAAGCCATTTGAGGTCTTGCCAAAGTGCAAACTTATTCCATCCGTTGACTTTTAACATTTTTCTGACAATGTTGACTAAGGCATGTCAGGGTCTTCAGTTCTGACAGACAGTCAAATATAATGACTTTTCTAGCTGACAGCCATAACTACACAGTTTGCTGAATAAACACAGACGAGACTCATTTCTTAATAACAAACCACACAAAACTTTCATGTGAATGGTGTTTTTAGCACACTGTGTACTAAAACGTTGGACATTAAGGACATTAGCCAATGAGAAAAACCTTTTGGTCTCTCTGCTCAGATAATAAAACTCTAAGCAACAACAAAACAGAAATGGACATCCTAGTATTTTTTCCTGATTAAACAAAAGACCAGACATTTGTAAGCAAAGAACATCCGTGTCATTATTCATTTATTCTTTTGTCCATTCCCCTGCAGTTCATTTCTGGTTAGCTGTTGTAAATTCAAGCCACAGTTTGTGCTCTCTCTCTTCTCATTGGTCAGCAGCTGAGTGGGCAGGTGATGAGTGTGAATACATACAGTGTGCAGCCAGACAGGTTCACACTCTCATGCAGCTTCTTCAACACATCTGCTGTAACCTCCAGAGGAAAAAAAAGACTTCAGCAATACTTCACAAATAAAAGAAAGCCAAAGGAGGATTTCAGTTTAAGGAGGAGGAATAGGCTGCCATGTCGTTTGAGGTGAAAGAAAAGGCAGAGGTGCGTCTGGTGTTTCTAGGGGCTGGGGGAGTGGGGAAGACGGCCCTCATCCAGCGCTTCCTCCGGGACACCTTCGAGCCGAAGCACCGGCGCACTGTGGAGGAGCTCCACAGGAAGGAGTACGAGGTGGGGGGGATCAAAGTCACCATCAGCATCATGGACACCAGCGGCAGCTACTCCTTCCCCGCCATGCGCAAGCTCTCCATACAGAACAGCGACGCCTTCGCCCTCGTCTACGCCGTGGATGACCCCGATTCCCTCGAGGCAGTCAAGAGGCTGCGGGAGGAGATCCTGGAAGTCAAGGAAGACAAGTGCACGCCCATCGTGGTGATCGGCAACAAGATCGACCGACACACCGAGCGGCGGGTGTCCAGCGAGGACGTGCTGTCCACGGTGGAGATGGACTGGAACCACATCTTCTTGGAGTCCTCGGCCAAAGACAACGTCAACGTGATGGAGGTGTTCCGGGAGCTGTTTCAGCATGCCAACCTGCCTATCCAGCTCAGTCCGGCGCTCTGCCGGAGGAGGGAAACCTTCCCCAAGGAGAGCAACAGGCGGCCCCCCATGAACAAAACCAACAGCTGTCTGATTTCGTAGGGATGGAAGACAATGACTCAAAAAGAAAACTATTCAAAAGAGACTAAAGATCTGATAAAACTGAAGGTATTCAATGGGGTGCAACGATACAGGAAATTCACGGTTCGGTTCGGGTCAATACCTTTAGTCTCACGGTTCGATATTTTTTCGATACAAAAAAGAGAAATGTCCATGCCCCTTTTAACTTGTAATTTATTTATATTAATTATGAACATTTGTTTAACCTCAAAAGTGCAGTTTTTAAATTAAATGTTGCTGAAACAGCAAGTTTCTCTGGACCTGCGCCCAAAAATGCAGCCYAGGTGGAGTAGTCGAACACAGATCCACTGATCCTTTGACACAGAGCATCTTCAGAAGACAAGATGATAAAGTAAATTTTTTAAATCTGTATTGTTCGATACAGCACTGTTCGATACGGTTCGATACGGGTACATGCAGGGGTGAAAGTAAGCCGTTACGGTCCGGTACTGCGTACCACTAAAAGATTGTACCGGGAAGAGGGGGGAGCGGCTGTCAACTATAAAGCTTATCTTATCACAGTTGCACTTTCTGTCAGAATATACATGTTAGCAATAGGCAGTATAAAACACAATTAATCTGTTTACAAATAGTTTTTTTTCTCATCCCTAATTGTTTCTGAACTGTCCCTGTCAGCTCCTCTTCCCTCGGAGCTCGAGGCTTTCATGAACCACCAGGCACAGCCGAGTCATAATGGCAAAATTAATTCGCCTCACAAAATAGTTCCTCCTGACAAGCTCAGTTTGTAATTTGTTGTTTAGATGTGTTTTTCCAACTACTTTTACTTTTCGTGAGTCAAAAGCGAGACAGTGTGTGTGTGTGCTGTTTTTCACCACCATGATTAATATTTTAAATCTGATTAATCCCAAAGTAGCTGTGAATTAATCATGATTAATATAAAATTTTATATACATTTCTTTTGCATATTGATCAAATGAATTACTTGAGTTATTA